CTTATACAAAATCCATCAAATAAGCCCTCAAACTATCAATCTGGCTGACAACCTCTTAGCCAAATGGCTGTCAATGTTAGTCATTTAAAATTTCTGATAGGCCCACTACCACGGTTGGTCCATTACATTGTGTGTCAATTTCAATTTAGTTCCATTTTAATTTGAAAAATGATTCTTGTACCGAATAATTGCAGTAAATTGCTAAATTTATTCTTTTAATTGGTTAATTATGTAACAAATAAGAAAGTTGAGTCCTCCATTTATTTGTTTTTAGTATAAATAGTAAATTAAAAATTATTCGGTTAAACAATTCACTGCAAGTGTTTCGGTGTGAGTATCACTACTCTTTTACCTTATCAGTGATCGAACCTCTGACCTCTCTTTAAAAAGTAGGGGCTTGGTACCGCTATGCCACTGGCATGTTGATAAGCAGAATGTATTTTATATAAAATAGATTATGAGTCGTAGTAACTCTTTGGGTAGGATTTGCAAATTGATTAAGCACGTGGCTTTAACGAGGAAAGACGTTCCTTTTTTTGTTTTTTGTTTTTTTTTTTTTTTTTCTAGTTGGTACTCATACACACATGTCTATTCTAAGACTTGAACCCCTGACCTCCCTTTGAAAAGTAAGAGGTCGATACCGCTAGGCCACTGACCCGTTGGTGAAAGAAAGCCGTTGCTTTAACATTCCAAATATGACAATCTTTGAAGTACAAGAATAAAATGCCCATTTTAATCATTTATTTATTTGATATGTTATTTAAAGTGTGAATGACAATTCTATTGGAATGAAAATTTATTCCACAACGAAACCTATAGAATGACCATTCCATTCTCAAATATATATATATATATATATATATATATATATATATATATATATATATATATATATATAATTAAAATTTCAAAAAACCCTTATATTCGAAGTTCAAAAACCACCACCACCATTACCTTCCACACCACCACCACCATTACCATCATTGCTTTCCATCACCACCACCACCATCACCTTCTATCACAACCACTGCCACTACCACCACCACCTTTCATCACTGTCACTGCTATTACCACAATTGTTGCCTCATTCAACCACCACACTGCCACTATCTCCATCGTCACCACCACCACCACTGACTTCCACCACTACCATCGCCACCACCTTAATGTACGGCAAAATTTTGAACAGTTCGATAAGTCCATTTTTTACCCGAATGATCAGTGTTTTTTGGGGTGGAAACGATGCATTGAGAAAAATTCACTAGCCTTAGCTTGTGGGTTATGTTGGTTTTCGACTGAAAACCTTCATTCAGCTTGTGGATCATGCTGGTTTTCTGCTGAAAACCTTCGTTTAATTTTTTTTTTTTTCATGTGATAAGAATTATTTTATTTTCAACATTTTAGTATCTTATTTTATTTATTTTATTATCACACCCCAAAAATCAGGGTGTGACATGGTAGATAGGACCAAATGGTGGTGAGCGGTGGTCTTACGCCAGGGATAGCTAGCCCGTGATTCAAATGGTGGACGAGCGGTGGACTTGTGCTATTTGGAGTTGGTGGTTTTCGGTGTGCGTTTGTATGAGTTGGGTTGGTTGGAGTATGATTGCATCCATAGTGATATAATAGGATTGGTTAGGAAAGAGGTTAAGGCATTTCGGCATAAGCATGGGCATTGATAAATTTGTGTTGGACTTGTGGTGTGTATATGTATATGGTATCATCGATTCATGGTGGTTGATGCTATTTGTTGATAACTTTGTTATTTCCCCGTGCAAGCATGACCCTTCATCTTGACCCCTTTCACTGTGTGCTTGCTCACTTGGCTTTAGGAACCATGCCTTAGGCATACTTTACGGAGCCTTGCTCACCCCTTTATTACAAATATTTTTCAGGTGGCGGAAGCTTAGAGGTGAATGAAGAAAAGTTGAGGATTTTGTTTTGTGTAACCACTAGTTGGTGTACTCCATTTCTTCTACAACCATTGTAATGTAGTTGTTGTGTAATGTATCCTAAGGCCATATATGCAAATTGGAGATCATGTATTTTGGTAACTATATATGTTTTGGGCATGTAATCATAAACCTTGTTTCGAGAATGTAATTATAAACTTTGTTTCGAGATATCTATGATACCAAATGGAACTAGAATGGACTATATCGAGGCCATGGTTGTTGAAACACTTATAAATTGACCTTTTTTTCCCTTAGCGCCTCGGGTTCGATTAAGGACTCGGATTCGTTTCACTGCTTAACAGTGATTTGGACCCTTTGAAGTTGGGTCGTTACACACCACCACCACCTACTACTGCTTTCCACCACCACCACCACCAATATCACCGCTTTCCACCACCACCACATCGTCGCCACCTCCACTGCCTTCCACCGCTGTTGCCACCTCCATTGCCATTACCATCATCTTCTACCACCTCCTTCCACCACCATCTGCTTAGCCTTCTACCACCACCATCGCCACCTCCACTGCCTTCCACCACCGCCACTTTCCACTGCCTTCCACCACCGCCACTTTCCACCACCACCACCTATATCACTGCCACTACCTTCCACCACCACCACACCACTGCCACTGCCTTCCACCATCATCACCTACACCACTGACGCCTTCCACCAAGCCTTTCACCACCACCACTATCACTGCATTCCACCAATACCACTACCACCTTTTTCCACTAACATTGCCGCTACCTTCCAACACTACCACCTACACCACTACCGTTTTCCATCTCCACGACCATCATTACTACCATCTACCACCGTCGTCATTTCTTTTAAAAAAATTATAGTAGAATGTTATTTTGTTAATTTAATTTATTTGTTACTAAGAGGAATTTTGCAGAATTAAATTTGAAATTCAATCTATTCAAAATTTTAAATTAGTCCAACCAAACACTGGTATGGTTATCATCATTCAATTCCCACATGTTTCATATTTTTTTTTCCCTAAATCCACATGTTTCATATTTGCAACCATATAGAATGAGAATGATAATTTCATTCCATTTCCATTCTCATTCCATTCTCGCTTGCGTTTCATTCCATTCCTGCATACCAAACACAACATTAATGAAATATTTGGCCATTCTTGCCACCTACCCGTGTCTAATTTTTAGCCAAACTCATGGAAAATCAACATACTTTGTCTTATAATTTTTAAATCAATAGGGAAAACTTGTTTTATATCTCATAAATGGAAGTGAGAACTAAGGTACATCATTCTTTTAAACGGGTGACGCTATTATGTTCTGCTTGTGCCCTCGCATCTAATTTCACTCAGTGTGATTTAAAGTTTGCCACTTTGCTCCCACGTTTCTATGTTAAGGTGAGAGTATTACTCCTTCCGTAATTTAATCGTCGATCTTTTTCTTTTTGGCCATCCCAAAATAATTGTTCCATTTGAGTAGTCAAAGGAAGATAGAAGAATTTTTTTTCATCAATACTCTTTTAAGTTTTCAAAATTTTCTAATTTCATAAAGAATAATGATAGAAACACTGAAGCATTAATCTCGAATTTACACCGAATGTGACGTGGTTTTGGCCACATCGTCCTGTTAAACAATTTCCCAAAAAACATAATTATTCAACAAATGACAAGTAAGTCCTCCATATTTATCCTCATCTTTATTTCATGTAAGTTCTCATATTATCTTCACTTATTCTCTCTCTAAATATTTTAACCCTCTCAAATTCTCTTAGTTTTTTCTTTCTTAGATTTGGTTCTGTATTTCTCCTCCATTGGTTCTCTGCAATCACTCTGGATTGTGAATTTCTCTTTTCCATGGGCTCTCTGCAATCACCCTAGATTTAGAGATTCGCTTCTTCATTGGCTCACTGCAATCACTTTTTTTTCCTCTCTCTAAATTTACCATCTCTTTCCCTTCTTCATTGGCTCTCTACAATCACTTTTTTTTCCTTTCTAAATTTACCATCTCTTTCCCTGTGTGAATATGAATTTATCTTCTCCATCTCTTTGTTCTTCTCATCACCACCACCACCAACCCTTTATTTCACATCTCATATTTCTCCCTAAAATACCCAAATTTGTTCATACTCTACCATGCCACGACCTTGACCCGCAACCATCATCATCTTTCTTCAATATTCCTTGAAGAGGTCTCTTGCATCTGTCTTCCACACAAACCCTAATCTCTAAACTTCATCAAAATGGGTCTATTGATTTGTCATGGTGACTTATTAACTCAGTTTTCTTCGAAAAAATAAGAGAAAAAGAATAAAATCATGAAAGATTTACAAGTCAAGAAACAAGACAATATAAAAAGAATGAATAGATGAAAGATTTATAGAATTTTATGAATTGAGATATGGCGTCAATGGAAGACAAAGAAGAGAGAGATTGAAGAGTATGTAATAAAAATATACGGACAAAAAACTAGAGAGAGAAAGAGGTGTTGGAAACTCAAAATGAATGTAAATAAGAGGAGCTGATGTGGCCAACAACGTCGAAGTTCGGTTCTCACTCGGGGAATTTCTTTCGGTCGCTCTATCATAACTTTTTCATAAAATCTTCATTCAAACTTAAAAGAATGATATAGTAATTTTAAAATGGAGCAATGCATTAATTACATGCCTTTTAAAAGGTTCTACTGCCCCCAAAATGGATCATTCATATAGGATAGAGAGTACAATATTATGCTATTGGAACAATAAATTAAATGTGACAGATATACCACATATAAGGTTTGCCAGACAAATCAAAATCATTGGTATGCTCAATCAATTAAAATGCATCATTCAAATTGATTAAGAGCAATTTTTATGAGTACGTGAGACCAATTATCTTGAATGGTGCATGTAAATTGGTTGTGCATGCCAATAACTTATGCCAAGCTATAAATTGTTGTACTGAAATTATGAAAAAGGTTATTTAGAATTTTAGACAAAATACAGAAGTTGAAAAAAAAGAAAAAGAAAAAGAAAAAGAAAATACAGGCATATCAGGCTGTACCCTATGTTTTAATATTGTCATCTACCCATTTGTTCTCTTCCCAACAACTACAGTAGTTTTACTAATATAATATGAATTAGATGGCATACATCAACCCTCCAAACACAAAATCACACAAAGCTTAGCAGAAAGACACATATGGATTCCATCAACATCTTCAAAGGGTATGACAAAGTCCATGCTCTCGAACAAGATCAACCCCTCAACAGGAACAGCAAAACCGCCCGTAACCGTCTGATTGTCATCGCCGTCTCTTCGATCGTCGTTTTAACGGTCATTATTGGTACGTTTGTCGGAGCCCTGATACACGAGTCCCTCACCGAAGATGAATCCCTCGAGGAGTCCGCCAACTCGGCCCACTCACTCCGAGCCGTCTGCTCAGTGACTCAGTACCCCGACTCATGCTTCACCACCATATCCTCCCTCAACCATCCATTATCATCATCCAAGCCCGACCCGGAACTCATCTTCAATCTCTCTTTACAAGTCGCCGTCAACGAACTCACCCACCTCTCCAAAACCCTAATCCCCAAATCGAACGATCCTGGGACCGAGTCGGCGTTGCGTGACTGTGTGGATCTGTTTGGTGCCGCGCTGAGTCAACTCAACAGATCGGCGGCATCGATGGGCGTGGGATCGGCGGAGGAGATGATGACGGAGGTGAAGATCAACGACATGAAGACGTGGATCAGTGCGGCGATGACTGACGGGGAGACTTGCCTGGATGGGTTGGAGGAGATGGGATCGACGGTCCTTGATGAGGTGAGGAGTAAGGTGCAAAAGTCCAAGGAGTACATGAGCAACAGCTTAGCAATTCTCGCCAATATCGACACCCTTCTCCGGAAATTTGATCTCACCATGCACTGATCGGGAGTTGTCGGGTACTTGTAACACTTTTGAATATATAATATATTTATTTTTATTTATGTAATTTCTTTTTGGAATGACCTGAATATCTATGTTTTGTGTAATTTTGAATGTATTATTTGTTCAGTTTCTTGTTAGTTTGTGTGTTTTTTTGTTGCAATTTAGGAACAAATTGTGCATTTAAAAAATAATAATAATTAATTCTGTCAATGTACTCCCTTTATTTTAGAAAAAGTTTCCTTAATTTTTTATTTTTTGAAATGATTTAAAATACTGTGTTTTCTTGTAAATTAAATGCATAAAATATTAAAATAATCTAAACTAATAAATGTTAAAAAAAATCTAGATTATTTTAATTTTAGAAAAATTATGATCTATTTTTTTTTTTTTTTTTTAAGTATCATTAGAAAGCGCTAAAAAAAGAAGCTCATTATGCTAAAATTACACATTGACGAAATAGGGCCCCAAAACACTCACAAACATCCAACAAAAATCCCCAACAAATTTACAGTTTTTTCCATGTACCCAACATAAAAGAGAACTAATTTTAGTGCCCCCATAGTTGCAATAGAGGACTCCTCGCTATCGAAGGATGTTCTATTCTGTCCCTCCAAAGACACCACCACACACACACAATGGTGCCACACTACAAAAGTCAGGGGCGGGGACCTACTGTACAACCTTTCCGAGCCTCTTATCAAGTCTGCAGAAGACTGAGGCATAAGGTAATGGACTCGGAACAACCCAAAAACAAAACCCATCTGTCTCGAGCCATTGAAGTGTTAGTTTTAATTTTAATTTTTTTTGAAGGAATTTACATTTAAAATAGTCACTGTAAAAAGTTTGAATTCTAATAAAGATTTATATATATATATATATATATATATATTTTTTTTTTCTTATAGATAAAAAATGAGGTCGGTATGATATTGGATAAATTACCTCCCTAAGGTTTGGGCAATATACACTGACCGCTCCTTTTGTTTATCAAATTACTCGGAAAATTAATTTTCTGTCCTTTTACATATATATAATATATTGTATTTTATTGCAATAAACATGTCTTACAAATGTAGGATTGAAATCTGAAAATTACAAAATTGCTAACATCAACATTTTTGGCCATTAACTGTGACGGTTGTTAACGGAGGGGAGTTCAGTTATGTGTTATTTACAAACAAATCCCACGGGAGGCAAGTGTAATTTGGCAAATAAGGGGGAAGTCAGTTGGGAAGGTCAGTGTCATCTACCTTATTATATTTTATTAAAATAAAATGTTAGAACTTTTCACTCTACGGCACGCTTAACAGTCAATGGACCTTCTAGGCTTTCTCAATTCAGATTATCCTAATAGAGTCTTCGCTTGCTCATTTCAATAGTCTATTAGCTTTCCAATCTTGAACTAGGAAGCATGGACATGCCTAATAGGGCAAAGAATTTGTGTCGGACACTCACATGCCCCGACACGTGTCCGACCGACATGCGTGTCCCATTCTTCGGAAGTTTTTTTCTTGAATATTTGGACATGGCATGGACACGGAATAGATAAGTAAGACATTCTTGGAGATTTTTAAGAAAGTTTTAGAAAAAAAGCTGGGTTGAAGTGTAAATATGAGGTGGTGTTTAATAACTTGGTCATTACATAATTACTTAAAAGTTGTTGTTTAATGACTTTTTTTTTTTTTTTTAATTGATACTCGCACACACATGCCTCTACCGAGGCTCAAACCCTTGAAGTATGAGCTTGGTTCCGCTAGGCCGCAGGCCTGTCCGAATGTTTAATGACTCTTCAGACTGCTCTATCCAATGTTTGAGCTCCCTTGGATGATTTTTGTTTTTTCTATGTACTAGAAGTGGTACTACTCCATCTTTTTTGTTTAATCTGTAATGTGAGGGTATGCCATCACTTTTAGGACTGCTTGGTAATCTTCCAATTTTATATATAACACATCTGCTTAAGGAAAAAAAAAAAACGAAAAAGAAAAATTATATTTAAGCAGTAAGATTTATTATTACATTTTAATTCAAAGATTCAAACTCTTGCACAATCATCTTTGACTATCTCGTTCTCCCACCGACCAAGCTTTGCTAGTAGTGGATCTCTCTCCTCTTCTCCTTCGTCCTCCTCTTCTTTTTTGTTTCTTTCTTTCTTTCCTCCTTCTTCACAAACCTTAGATACTATTTTTTTCCTTTCACAACAAATTTTTTTTTGTCTCCTTTTCCTTTTCCCTCTTGTTTTCATTAACAAACTTTCTTTCTATTTTATGGATTCTTACCTTTATTTTTAACTAAGTGTGATACTCCCGGATTTCCGAATGCGGGTTGGCCAAGCTCACGCCCGAATACCCGAGGATATCAAAACAAATTGATAATAAACGAACACAGAGTACAAAAGAATAAAGAAGAATAAATAAAATGCTGACAAGAAACTAAAATGATAATCTAATAATAAACTTAGGGGTGGCAAAAGTTGACACGACTCGCCAACACGACTCGAACACGACACGAGTTAAATGGGTTTGGGTTGACCTTAAACGGGTTCGGGTCATAAACGGGTTGACACGATTAACCCATTTAGTTAATAGTGTCGTGTTTGGGTTGAGGGGTTCAACCTGTATAACTCGTTTATACACGTTTAAGTATATATATCGTAAATAAATTTCTGTTTAAGTTCTAAAATTACTATATAAACTTGTATCTTATAATTTAAACTTTTATAACCTATAAATTATTTAGTAATTTGGTTAATTAAAACTTATATTTTTTTTAATATTTATTATTTTATTGAGTATTATTAATAATTTAAATAATATATATATATATATATACCTTTAATACCTTTAAGTTGACACGACACGATTACGACCCGCAAACACGAATTGCCACCCCTAAATAAACCTCAGAATATATTTCCATTAATTAATAAACTCTTCTGATACAACTGATCCTCCAAAATAAAACTCGGGAATCCATACTGTGTGGACCCCTAAAAAATCTAAACTAAACAAATGACAGCAATAACTGTCTAAATCAGGAAACTGAATCATAAAGGAACTCCTATGTAGCATCGGAAGAATAAAGTAGACTGATCCCCGCTCAGCACGAACAACCTCTACTCCTGACGAACACTTGAAAAATAATGGTGGGTCAGGCCTATAAACAAGTTCTACTCTACTACAGTCCAAGCAGAGATCCGATACACGTATACATCCTAATCAATCCAACAATAACTAGTAGTCCGTATATATATATATATATACACACACACACACACTAAAGGAACCTCACTAGACTATAGGATTGTCTCAACCTGAATAGTAGGCAACATGCAAAACGCACATATCCTGGCACAACTACACTATATCTAGCTACACATCCCTAGCGATATACGCGCCCTAACCACTGATCCTGAGACTCAAGCTCATATCATGGTACGATACTTATATATATATAATCTAGTAACCATCCTATCCAGTATAAATTAATCCTCCATAAGTCATTCAACTTGTTTAGCTGACCTGACTTGAATATAAGTAGGACTTAACATTTTAGTTAATCCATTCCCTTATATAATAAATTAATCATCCATAAGTCATTCAACTTGTTCAGCTGACCTGACTTAAATATAAGTAGGATATAACATTTTAGTTAATCCATTCCCTTATATAAAATAGGTAGGACTTAACTGATAAGTTAATCCATCCCTAGAATGCCACCGTCCCATACCGGTGCATTAAACCACACAATCCAACAATTGATGTAATGATTAAGGAAATACATCAAACAATACAGAAATAACTATGATAATATAATATCAAGTTATCACAAAATAGGAATGACTTATTATTTATTTAAGCTTCCTATATCATATGTTCTACACAAACTGAATCTTATACATGATGATATTTTATTATACCGTCAAATAAACATTCTCCATATCCAATTCATCCTACACATTTAATCTTAATTGCTAAAATATTTTAAAAGATTAAATCCATTCGTTTGTTTAAAACATTCAAATAGCAAGCATCATTATGATTGAGTCTATTTAAATTTATTTAAACCCAAACCTAGTTCCTATTTAATGTTCATGAATCCTAGGCATGTTTCAACGTTCTATCATTCCACAGATATGAAAAATAAATAATGTAAACATATAAAAATTCACACCGGAAATCAAATCAAAATCATGCATTTATCAATTCATAAAATAAGAACAGCTATGAACCAATTTCATAAAACCTATGTTCTGATCCAATTAAACATGCATAATTATTTAATTTTATGTGTTTAATAAATTCTGGAATTTCCTAGGTATGCATAGAAACACGAATAAAAGGAGAAGAGATAGAAGAAGAACTTGCCTTAAATTTTCGGATTGAAAGTGAAATTTCTTCTTCCTTGATCTTCTCTCTACAGGATTGTTTCCTCCTTCCTTCCTTTTCCTCCTTCCCTCTCTAACTCTCTCTAGAATATATCACGTGAATATTTCTATCCCCCTTTTATAACCTATAGCTATATATTTATAGGCTAAATAAAATAACCATAACCCTTTTCCCAATCCAAGTCAATTTAAAAAAAATAAATATTAAAATATTAAAAAGGTAAGTAAAATATGTTACGTATGTAATTTATGTATATATTTATTAAATAAATAAATTATACACATTCCATTATTTATTAATGGATTATCCAATAATACTTAAGTTACCATAATATTATAAAGTAACTTAAAACATAACATGTATCAAATCTACGTATATTTTTATTATTTAAATATAAAACATATACATCAGATTAAATATTACTACCCAAATTACCATAAAAGTAATTAATAAATTACTCTCCCTTTTATATATATTAAAAAGGTAAGTAAAATATGTTACGTATGTAATTTATGTATATGTTTATTAAATAAATAAATTATACACATTCCATTATTTATTAATGAATTATCTAATAATATTTAAGTTACCATAATATTATAAAGTAACTTAAAACATAACACGTATCAAATCTACGTATATTTTTATTATTTAAATATAAACATATACATCAGATTAAATATTATTACCCAAGTTACCATAAAAGTAATTAATAAATTACTTTCCTTTTTATATATGTATATAATATATAT